GCCAGGACTTGTAACCCGACGAAGATGAAACACTGGATGGAACGTTTCTGGCGATCGATTTTGGTATGTTTTTGAGCATATTTGTGTCTCTCATCGCTTTGACCACGTGCTTCCACTGCCCGCCATTGTCAATCGGAAACATCGGAACTGAGGCCTTGCCGATGATGGCAGAAGATCTTCAATTGGAATTACAGTCTAGCATCTATGCCGCGGACTGGAGCTCACTCGAGCGAATGGCCAAGTTCTTCAAAGTTGAATATGAGGGAAAAACAAAATTGTTTGTGGCGAAACGTGTTGCTCTACGGCTCGATGATGAAATTGAAAAACTGAAGGAAGCCGAAGTCGTGCCGTACCTCAAGGACGTAAAAGAAATGCTGACAGAGAAACCCCATGGCATCAAGAACGATGAAGAAGATGGTAAGCCAGTTCTAAGTGATTCAAAACCTCCTCCCGTAGCGAAGGAAGATCCTGTTCAAAAACTACTAGCGACTAGCGCGTTACGTAGACAGTTTAAGATCAGTGGTCAAATCGGGGAACCCGAGCAGAAAGACAAAATTAGTTTTTCTTCCCTTATGCGTCAAATTCAAATGGGGTTGGCCCAAGGTTATGGCGAGAGTGAAATTGTTGATGGTGTTATTCGCTCAATTACACCTGGCATGGTACTTAGGAGTTACCTCGAAACTTACGAAGATTTGACATTGGATCGGTTAAAGAAAATTCTCCGTAGCCACTATGGTGCAAAGAATACATCAGAACTCTATCAAACACTGGCATCCCTATGTCAGAGCCCAAAGGAGTCACCCCAGGCATTTTTGATGAATGCTCTTGATCTGAGGCAACAAATCCTGTTTGCATGTGGTGAAGAAGAAGGTGAAATATCCCTACAGTATGACTCTGGACACATACAACGTCTGTTTCTTCGGTCAGTAGAAACTGGTTTACAGGATGAAAGTATTCGTGCTAAGATTCGCCCATTCCTGAAGGACTCAAATGTGACAGATGAAGTGTTGATGCAACAGATGAGCATGGCTACGTCAGCAGAAAAGGAAAGGGACAAGAAGCTTAAGAATAATACCAAGACCAAACAACCACCATTATCAGTGTCTGCGGTATCTGATGGCCCACCTAAAGAAAAGGAAGGAGGCAAGAAGAACAGCCCTCAGAATGATCTTCTAACAGCTATAAGTGCAATCAAGTCAGAAGTCGAGGCATTGAAAAGCGAGGTCAGGAAGAACAGCAATCAAAGTGTACCTCCAGGCAAGTGGCCAGAGAGAAGAAGACCACCTTTGTGTTCAAGCTGCCTCGAGAACAGAAAGGAATATTGCAATCACTGTTTTAAGTGTGGGAGCGAATCTCATCTGGCAAGGGGATGCAGGAAGCAGTTAAACAGGAATCGACTGCTCCCGCGAGACAGGAAGCAGTCGTAAACCCACCAAAGTCTCACCAATGTAGCCACTGTTGTAAAACCGGAGTAGAGCATGGACAACTTAAAAGATGTAGTCAGTGTCAGAGTGTATGGTATTGCACCACGCGATGTCAAAAGGGACACTGGGCTGAACACAAGGTGTTGTGCCAAGCAATAAGTCATCTTTCTGAGGCGAGTACAAGTAAGTCAAAAGAGTTTGTAGACCCAGCCTGTGTCAGTCATTTAACTCCAAGTGAGCATGCTAAAGTTATTGGCCTTGTTGGCAAGAAGTGTATGGTGAAGTGCTTGCTCAATGACTATGAATGTGAAATGTTATGGGACACTGGTGCCCAGGTTTCAATAATATCAGTCGACTCTGTCCAAAGATGCTTAGGACAAGTAGCCATTAGACAGTTGTCAGAACTCTTGGAGACAAGCCTTAGCCTAACAGCAGTGAATGGGTCTCAAATACCCTACATTGGGTGGGTGGAAGCCAGAGTTATGCTAACTCCTCCTGGTAGTGATAGCAATCAAGAGGAACTGTTAGTGCCTTTTCTAGTGACA